AGCATGACCAACATGGAGAAACCCTGTCTCTACTAAAAATACAAAATTAGCTGGGCATGGGGGCACATGCCTGTAATCCGACCTACTCAGGAGGCTGAGGTAGGAGAATTGCTTGAACTTGGGAGGCGGAGGTTGCAGTGAGCTGAGATTGTACCATTGCACTCCAGCCTGGGCAACAAGAGTGAAACTATGAGTTCATATGTCATGAAAATTACTGATCACTACTAAAAATAGTTACTTATTACTCTGAAAATCGATAAAGGCGGCTAATTATAGACTTATTTGCCTTTCCTGTATATAGTTCAGGGTAACCAAACAGTTGATGATGGAACATTCCTATTTATAGAATTCCAGTTAAAAAAAGTAAAAGGAATAATGGAATGAAAAAAATCACCATTTTGTAACCCCTAGTGAAATAGTGTTGTAGGCAATGATCATCAAAGGCTGCCAAAGCCATTAGACAAAACTTAAGGAGAACTTTACATGGAGTGATCAGGCTCTCACCACCGGGACCCCACTCATCAATCAGCATCATAAAAAGTGTGACAAGACATTAGGTGTTGGTTCGTGCAGTTCAACAGAAAGTTCATAGCGCCACCTATGGAGTTAATTTTAAAACTTAACTTGAATCTAATTGAGCCTCAAGCTCTAACCAGGTTGTAGGAAACATAAGCATTAAAGGAACACGTTAATCACCAAAGTAGACAACTCCAGAATGTGGAACATTCTGCAGAACATATGACCAGGTTCCCCCAACTAACCAGTGTCGTAAAGAGAAAAAAAAAAGGAAAAGGGAATAAAAGGGACTTAAGAGACATAATAAAAAAATGCAACTGTATAAAGACAACTTTGAGACCATCAGAGAAACAATACTGACTGGATATTAAATTATATTAGGAAAATTTTTTTTTTTTGAGACAGAGTCTCGCTCTGTCGCCAGGTGCCAGGCTGGAGTGCAGTGGCACAATCTTGGCTCACTGCAATCTCCGCCTCCTGGGTTCAAGCAATTCTCCTGCCTCAGCCTCCCAAGTAGCTGGGACTACAGGTGCACGCCACCACACCCAGCTAATTTTTGTATTTTTTAGTAGAGACGGGGTTTCACCATGTTGGCCAGGATGGTCTCGATCTCTTGACCTCGTGATCTGCCCGTCTCGGCCTCCCAAAGTGCTGGGATTACAGGTGTGAGCCACCGCGCCCAGAAATATTGTCGATTTGTTAAGCAGAATGATAGTAAGTGGTTAGGTTACTTTTTTAAAAAGACCAGCTAGGCACAGGTGGCTTATACCTATAGTCCCAGCTACTTGGGACGCTAAGGCGAGAGGATCACTTGAGCCCAAGAGTTCAAGGCTGCAGTGAACTATGATGGTACCACTGCACTCTAGCCTCAGCAATAAAGTGACATCCTGTCTCTAAAAAAAATTAATTAATTAATGAAAAAGACCTACTTGAGGCCAGGAGTTCAAGACCAGACTGGGCAACATAGCAAGAGCCCATCTCTACAAAAAAATTAAAAATTACCCAGGTGTGGTGGCACACCTATAGAGCCAGCTCTTCAGGAGACTAAGGCAGCAGGATGGCTTGAGCCCAAAAGTTCAAGCCTCCATTGAGCTATGATCATGCCAGTGCATTCCAGCCTGGATGACAGAGTGAAATCTTACCTCAAAAAAATTGTCCTGATCAGTTAGATATGCATGTTGAATTATTTATGGATATGATATCTAGGATTTGCTTTTAAAATACTTCGACAAGTCCAGGCATGGTGGCTCACGCCTGTAAATCCCAGCACTTTGGGAGGCCGAGGCGGGGGGATCATGAGGTCAAGAGATTGAGACTATCCTGGCCAACATGGTGAAACCCCATCTCTGCTAAAAATACAAAAAAAAAAAAAATTAGCTGGGTGTGGTGGTGCATGCCTATAATCTCAGCTACTCGGGAGGGTAAGGCAGGAGAGTTGCTTGAACCCAGGAGGCAGAAGTTGCAGTGAGCCAAGACTGCGCCACTGCACTCCAGCCTGGGAAAAAGAGCAAGACTCCGTCTCAAAAAAAAAAAAAACTCCAACAAAAAAGGAGTAGATAAACCAAGAATGACAAAATGTTTAAAACCGTTTGGAGCTTGATGATGGCATAGGATCAGTATATTACCTTTATTTTTGTGTATGCGTGATATTTGATATTTTCCATAATAAAAGAAGTTTTATAAATAACAAAAAGGAGAAAGTCATGTCCTACAGGGCTCTTTTTATGCTATCATACAGAAAATCATATAGTTCCCTTTCTGACACTATCAAAAAAAAATGACAGGTATGTGAAAAAATAACAGGCCTAGACAAGAAATGTCAACAACATTTCTCTCTGAATATACAGTTCTGAGACTAAATCAATATTACACTAGTAGTCATGATTCCAGAAGAGTAAAGTTTTTAAAAGAAACTACTAGTCAAAGACAGACTAGCCTACATTTTCTCTGATAAAACAGATCACATCGTATTTATTTACTTAAGTGTCTGATAATACCACAAAGAAAACTGGTGGAGAAACAAACACAATGGTGGTTTCTTTAATACATTTTGATTGAATACACTTCAAAGAGTCACTAAAATGGCCAGAACCAGACTTAGCTATAACCTATCCAATGGTGGTAACATACGTTTTTTTAAAAGATGCTAACAGAAAAGGAATTCATGAGAAATAAAAGGATGTAAAGTTATGGGCATGTTTTGCTAGTGATTAGACAGTTGCAGACCATGGGAAAGCATAAGCTGGTCTGACAATGAGCTGTGGAATTCCAGGATCAAACAGAGTCCAGGCTTGTAGATGTATGCACTAGAGGATCACATGACCCATTTAATCAAATATTCAAAACATACAATTACCTCCATTCACTATTTTTTTTTTCTGGCCTTCTGTTAGTCACTTACAGACAGTAATTATCAGTATTCTCCTAAAATGAAGATGAAGATCCGTGTTTTTTCCCTTAAATAATTCTCTGTCCCCCCCTTCCACTCTAGGAAAGCATACTGTCTTAGTGCATTTGTGCTCCCGTAACAAAATATCAGAGGACTGGATAATTTATAAAAAAAACAAATTTACTTTCTCACAGTTCTAGAGGCTGGGTAGTCCAAGATCAAAGCACCAGCAGGTTCAATTGTCTAGTGAGGGCTGCTCTCCTCTTCCGAGATGGTACCTTGTTGCTACATCCTCCAGAGAGGAAGAAGAATGCTATGTCCTCATATGGTGAAGGTGGAAGGGCAAGAGAGCTAGAGGCTGCATAAAACCGCTTTCATAAGGGTCTTAAATCCCATTTGTGTAGGCCCCATCTCTTAATACCATCACACTGGCCATTAAGTTTCACCACCTGAATTTTGGAAGGACACATTCGAACCATAGCAGATGCTAAGAAACTAACTTCTTAATAGTTTAACATGACTTAGTTCCAGAAACTAAAGATGAATATTAAATTTTGACAATGCTATTATTTTTCAGTTATGAGAACTAGTAAACTGAGGATGAGCTCATAATGCAGCAATTATAAATGTTTCTCTCAGTGGCATGCAAAACACATAAGATGACAGTATGCCATTGATACATGTAGGTAGCAACAGTAATATTTTTTTACATGACCTGATATTCTGGCAACATTATTTGAACAAGCATGGCAGAGACAGTAGATAATCTTTAGCTATTCTGCTTTGGTAAAGTATTTCTGCTTGTCTTACCTATTGACCTTTAACAATACTAAAGGCAGACTGCCTGGGAATCTGATTTTTAAAATGAATGAAAAGTGATGCAGCATTTGAAAAGGAAAACTGTTCCCAAAATAGAGAACAGGAGAAGAAAAAGTAAATAGGCAAGAAAACAAAGAAGAAAAGGAAATAAGGAAAGTGATATGAGCAGAAAGAGACTATAAAAAGATTCATACAAAAAGCAAACCAAATTTGATAAGAAACAAAAATAAGTTGTAAATTCCTTTGTTTCAAAGGAAGAGGTATGATGACTGACATGAACATATCAAATTGAATATAATAAACCAAAATGAAAGTAAACTAACACTAAAAAGAGTCCTTTATTGTCACATGTCAAGGGCGGGACAGGTAGAGATAACTGAATCATGGGGGCAGTTTTTCCCCATGCTGTTCTTGTGATAGTGAGTGAGTTCTCACAAGATCAGATGGCTTTATAAGCGTCTGGCATTTCCCCCGCTGACACTCATTCCCTCTTCTGCCACCCTGTGAAGAAGTGCCTTCCGCCATGATTGTGAGTTTCCTGAGACCTCCCTAGCCATGTGGAAATGTGAGTCAATTAAACCTCTTTTTTTTTTTTTAATAAATTACCCAGTCTTGGGTATTCCTTCATAACAGTGTATGAATGGACTAATACATCCCACCTCAGCCTCCCAAACAGCTAGTACTACAGGCATGCACCGCCACACCCAACTAAGTTTTAATTTTTTTGTAGAGTCGGGGAATTGCTATGCTGCCCAGGCTGGTCTTGAACTCCTAGCCTCAAGTAATCTTTCCCACCCTTAGCCTCCCAAAGTGCTGGGATTACAGGTATGAGCCACCATGCCCAGCCCTATTTTGTTAAATGGAACTTATCTAGTTGATTAAGCCAGAAATCTCTATGAGGTACATCATCAAATTCTACTATTCTACTCCAATAAGTAGCTTTATAGTCTATCCACTATCACCTCTGACTTAAATATTAGCAACAACCTCCTCCCTGGTTGGTAAAATGATAATTTCTTTTTCTTACACACTAAAATTACCTACTTAAGTTAGTCTCTATCAATACAAGCTTTCAGAGTAACAAGCTAGAAGCATACCCACAACTATTAAGCCCTAAGACAAAGGGAAAGTGATTCTTTTGTCCTCAAAGGCTATGAAACAAATTACAATTTAAAATCTTAAAATGCAGATGTCTTTTTTACACTACCATTGTCTTAATGGACTCAAAAGAGAAGCTAGGTGATAGGTATTTTATAGACTGGAAGAATAATCTTACCTGGAAGATTACCCTTTGAGATGGTATCTGTATCCAAATTGTAGGTATCCTGGAGACGTAATAGAGCTTTGGCTGCCCCAACCTGATCTTCATCATTAGGAAAGTACTGTCTCTGAATGGTTAGGTTAGAGATAAAACCTTGAAATAGATTAAAAAAAAAAAAAAAAAAAAAAAGGCTGTAGAACCTCATAAACTTCCCATAAAGAGACTTACTAAGGATTTTTCAAAATCTATTTTACTATTTTCTACCATACCATGAAAAGTTCCACATATTCAACAAGAAAAAATTAAGTACATTGAATGAGACTTGGCATACTTCTAACTTGTTCAATCTTCCAAAAGCCTAGTGTTGTTTAAGTACTGTAATGTGACGTTGTTATATAAATTATTATATTAGCAGGTAAAGATCACCTAACCTAATAGTTATGAGTTTTCAGTTAATATGGCAAGAAAATAAAAGTGCATCCACTAAGTTTGGGAAATGAACACATTTATGGATCTGAAAATGACATTCACTGACAATCAATTATACTTCCAGAAAACAGATGGTAAGTAAAATGTTTGCTCTTAAAGTTCTGTTTTCTTCTTCCGTGATTACACTTTATATAAATATGTAAATATGTAAAGTTTGGTGGAATTCTTCAAGGGGAAGGAAGAGATATTAATTATATACTTAAGATCAACAGCTAAGCTAGTTTATTAAAATATATTTAGATCAGTTTAATTATCAAACATGGTATTGATCAATCAAAATTTACAATATATAAAACCTAATCTTAAAGAGGATTTATATAAAGTATAGCAAAAATCAAACTAACAAACCAATTACTGATAACCATATAACCCCAAGGAGCATGGATGCTAAATACTCCTTAAGAAACAAAAAAAGTGGTTTAAAATTTTAATATAGGCATCATTATTCGTGAATAAAAATTAGGTATGAGATTTCCCTCTCTTCTCATTAACTTATAATCAATTATATGTTTTTTGGGGGGTTTTTTTTGAGACAGAGTCTCACTCTGTCACCCAGGCTGGAGTGCAGTAGCACAATCTCATCTTCCTGCAACCTCCACCTCCCAAGTTCAAGCAATTATCATGCCTCAGCCTTCCAAGTAGCTGGGATTACAGGCGTGCACCACCCCTAGCTAATTTTTGTATTTTTAGTAGAGATGGGGTTTCACCATGCTGGCCAGGCTGGTCTCCAACTCCTAACCTCAACTGATCTGATCGCCTTGGCCTTCCAAAGTGCTGAGATTATAGGTGTGAGCCACTGCATCCAGCCTACTATGTATTTTGAACAGCAAGAGATCAGGTTCTTTTTTTTTTTTTTGAGATGGTGACTCACTCTGTCACCCAGGCTGGAGTGCAGTTGCACAATCTCAGCTCACAGCAACCTCTACCTCCTGGGTTTAAACAATTCTCCTGCCTCAGCCCCCTGAGTAGCTGGGATTACAGGTGCCTGCCACCACAATCAGCTAACTTTTGTACTTTCAATAGAGACAGGGTTTCACCATGTTAAGCCTTTCAAACTCCTGATCTCAAGTGATCTGCTTGCCTAAGACTCCCAAACTGCTAGGATTACAGGTGTGAGCCACGGCGCCCGGCTGAGACCAGGCATTATTATGTTAATGAAAATGTACAAATGAACAACTAGCTGGAAGAGGGCTAGAGTTTATATCAAGTGTATTTTTATGCTGTTTTGTCTTTTTTTAGAGACAGTCTTACTGTGTTGCCCAGGCTGAAGAGCAGTGGCTTTTTACTGGTATAATTCCATTATTAGATCAGAGGGGTTTTGACCTGCTCTGTTTCCAACAATATTTTTTAGTTTTACGACCAATTCCCAGTCACAATCTCTACATGGAATTTTACAAGCAAGTTTTACAAGTTTTATAGAAGGCTATAATATTTATTATGCTACAAACAAAATTCTAAGAAAAATAAATTTATATATATTTTCTCTCATAGCATTATAGAATGACTACTACAGATTAAAACAACAAAGTCCCAATTCACATTATAAAACAATTTAGTTCATCACTTGAGAATAAATATATGGATTTCCTTAAAAACATGTTCGGGGCCAGGATCCGTGGCTCATGCCTGTAAACCCAAACACCGTGGGAGGCTGAGGCAGAAGGATTGCATGAAGCCAAGAATTCGCTATCAGCCTGGGCAACATAGCAAGACCAAGACCTTGTTTCTACAAAAGAAAAATTTAAAAATTGGCCCAGCATGATGGTCCATGCCTGTAGTGCCAGCTACTGAGAAGGCTAAGGTGGGAGGATTGCTTGAGCCCAGGAGTTCAAAGCTGCAATGAGCCATGATTGTGCCACTGTACAATCAGCCTGGGCAACAGTGAGACCCTGTCTCAAAAAAAAAAAAAAGTTCCCAAGGTGTTATATAGTACAGAAAATAATCACAGGCAGTTACCTCTCATAGTAAAGAAGTATTCACAAGTACTTGCCATATTATCTTTTCAAGGCTTCCAGACCTGTGACTAATAGTTTACTTCACTGCTTACAGAAAGTACTTACCCTTGTAGTATCTTACGTAACTAGCTCAGCTCTTTTCCATCTCTCTCTCTTTTGGAGGGGGACATAATATCCCTTAACCTCCTTACTAAAGTCCAGATTTAGTCTTCTACATCTGTTATTAAAGTATCTAAAACATTTCAACACTCCAACTACAACTGTATTTGTATCACTTATTCATTATTACTGTTTGCAGTGTCAGTTTGATTTATTGTCTACATTGAGTAAACTAATTCTAAACTTCAAAATACCAGATAGAACACAGCTAATGCTTCTCTTTACAGTAACACTCCCAACATTTTTTAAATTGATTGTAGATAAAGATATAAATTTTTAAAGTTTGAAGATAATCCTAAAATAAAAAGGATTACCCTCAGAAATGAAGTTATATGCCAAATAATCTATTCACTTTTGCAGATTTCAAAACAAAAGTCAACAGTAAAAGAAATTACTTCTTTTGGCTGGGCATAGTGGCTCACGCCTGTAATCCCAGCACTTTGGGAGGCCAAGGCAGGTGGATCACGAGGTCAAGAGATCGAGACCATCCTGTCCAACATGGTGAAACCTCATCTCTACTAAAAATACAAAAATTAGCTGGGCTTGGTGGCGCGTGACTGTAGTCCCAGCTACTGGGGAGGCTGCGGCAAGAGAATCACTTAAACCCAGGAGGCAGAGTTTGCGGTGAGCTGAGATTGTGCCACTGCACTCCAGCCCGGTGACAGAGCCAGACTCTATCTCAAAGAAAAAAAAATTACTTTTTTAATCAAAGAATTCATGATTTTGACTAAATTAACTCTATTCAAACCAAATGCACCCAGGCATAATCCAGCTATAACACTGAACACTTGATTTCCTGGGAACTGAATTTATCACTAATTTTATTATTTCTACAGATGGTGGCAATATTGCCTTACTCAGGAATCTCTTTCAGACTTACCATCTGACATATCCTTAAGGACCAGATTCTCCAACTCACTCCATTCAGTATTCAGACGTTTCATTAATTTGAATGCATTTACTGGATGCCCAACAAATCCTTCTGGATCTTTTGTCGCTGTACTAGTTAGCCGATCTAACTTCTCTGCCCATCTACAGATGTAAAACATAAAAACTGAGAATACGTATATTTCATAAGGAAAAACACAATTTAGTGAAATGCTCAGAAAAAAGAAAATGCCTAGAAGTTTTTGAGTTAAACTATACCTGTAGTTTCTTTTTAAAGTAAAATTATAAGGTCTTTTTTAAAAAGCAAGACTCTTGGCAGAATCAAAATACAACTACAGGACTTTTTGTTTTAAATTTGTTTCTCCCAATGATTATAGTAAATGGAACCTCCCTATCTTAGTAAAAGTTGTGAATGAATCCCTCTAGTAAAAGTTAAAAATTCATTTCCCCATAGTTCCTAGGGCCAAATAACTGATTATTACAAACTACCAATTAGCCCAACCCAAATTCAATTACATGTTCATTTACATTAACTTATACTAAACTTTTACATCCAGTATCTAAAAACTATATCTTAAAACAAAAAAACTGAATACTTAGCTACTCATTAAATAAAAGACAGGAATTCTCAGGTCAGGATTAACTATGAACATGAGTCAATTAAAAATAAATTCATATTAGACAAAAACTCTATCAATTAAATAACACTAATCATACTTATCACTATAATGTCTACAAGGGAACCAGGGAGTCAAGGATAAATAGAACTGGAAAACTGCTGCAGGAGGTGGCTTGACTAAGAGGTTAGGAGAAGCATAAAACGTATCAGCAATATTTTTAAAATTTATCAGTCAACTTCCCATATCCAACCATATTCTTTTTTTTTTTTTTTTTGAGATAGTCTTGCTCTGTCGCCCAGGCTGGAGTGCAGTGGTGCAATCTTGGCTCACTACAGCCTCCACCTCCTGGGTTCAAGCGATTCTCCTTCCTCAGCCTCCCAAGCAGCTGGAATTACAGGCACATGCTACCATACCCAGCTAATTTTGTATTTTTAGTAGAGACAGGGTTTCACCATGTTGGCCAGGCTGGTCTCGAACTCCTGGCCTCAAGTGATCCACCTGCCTCGGCCTCCCAAAGTGCTGGGATTACAGGCATGAGCCACTGTACCCGGCCAATATCTAGCCATATTCTTATCTCAACCCAAGTTCTTCCATGTGAAAGTTGGCCCAACTCTAACTTGTTCTCTATACACCTATTTTAGCCATTTCAACTGGCTTTGTAAGACTCAAAAATGGGTTTCATTTCTACTTAAAGAATATTTTAGCTTGAGAAAGAAAACATCCAGGCTGAGTCAGAGTCATAATAAGTAAATATTTTGCTTACTTTTTTATTTGTTCTAACTTGTCCTCTTCTGCTTTAATATAATCTTTCAGAGAAGTTACCAGGTCTTTCTCAGTATGGATCAAATCAGTCATCTGACCTAGAAGGGGAAGAAGGTTATCAAATACTCTTATCCTTCAACACAAGTATGTTAAGAATAAGAATGATTGAGACTGTTCCATTCTATGAGACAATTTAACTGGCATGAATCAGCTATGCTGAAGACGATCTTTTTTTCACCAGATAAACCAAAATAAAGTCAAAAACTTTTCTAATCAAGTGTTTCAGTTCTAATTTTCAAGGCATTTAATTTTGCAAGCTTTACACTGTGCTGGCAAATTGTCTTTACCATGTAAAAATACAAATGTATTTTTAAATTGCAAATCAACACTACTTTCCAAAGACTGTTTCTTCACCACCTCCCCTTTACGTTTGTTTTTGAGACTAATTAGAATTAAATTTTTATTTAATAAACAAAAACCACACTAAAAAAAGTTTCAAATAATCCGTTATTTATAATAGGATGCAAGAACCCATCATTTTATATACTGGAATCAAGAGTCATAAATATGTAATACTTATGGGCCAGGCACTGTGGCTCATGCCTGTTGTAATACCAGCACTCTGGGAGACCAAGGCAGGAGAGTCCCTTGAGGCCAGGAGTTGAAGACCAGCCTGGGCAACATGGTGAGACCCTCTATTAAAAATAATAATGACGCCGGGCGCGGTGGCTCAAGCCTGTAATCCCAGCACTTTGGGAGGCCGAGGTGGGTGGATCACGAGGTCAAGAGATCGAGACCATCCTGGTCAACAAGGTGAAACCCCGTCTCTACTAAAAATACAAAAAATTAGCTGGGCATGGTGGTGCGTGCCTGTAATCCCAGCTACTCAGGAGGCTGAGGCAGGAGAATTGCCTGAACCCAGGAGGCGGAGGTTGCAGTGAGCCGAGATCGCGCCACTGCACTCCAGCCTGGGTAACATGAGTGAAACTCTGTCTCAAAAAAAAAAAAAAAAAATAATAATGATAAGCTTCTTTTTTTAAATTATGATACAAAAAACCCCTTTAGTTCACAGTAGAATCTTAAATGGAAAAAGCAGACTAGATATATATACAGTATATTACTTGTGTATCTGTGCACTGAAAAAGACTAAGTATATGCATTATTTGCTTAATAGACTCATTAATGGGTAACTTCCTTTGACATGCATTTCTAAATTTTTTAAGTTTCTACACTGAATATGTATCATTTTTGTAGCGAAAAAAATTTTTTTAATAAAATTATTTTAAAAGGACCTTTTAGAGAGGCAGGGAGGAAACCTATACTCTGGGAGTACATTATATTTGTTTTTGCTGATTTTAAAACACTAAAAAATGGAAATAAAAAATGCAAAACCAACACAAACCAACAAATAGTAAGACTTACCAATTGAAGTAAAAAAGCCTGGATGAGCCAAAGACTGGGGAAGCAGAATTCCTACAATTAATATACACCAGATCATCTTGGAAGACTTAATTTTACAGGATTACACACCTAAA